GCGCGCAGGCCGCGGCTCTCCGTGCTCTTGGGGAAGGGCTTGATGACCGCTGTCTGGTTGGGATTCTCCTTCTTGTTGATGTGGATGGACAGGCGCTGCCACAGGTGCTGCCCCCGGCCGCTTCTCTCGTTCTGGGCCCACGTGACGGACTTGCCATTGGAGCTGCGGAGAGAAGAAGGGAGAGGAGAGGTGACTCAGTGCGGTCTCCATGGGCTTCCCCAGTGGCGGGTGGGGAAGGGGCTTGGATTGGGAAGGACCCTTATTGTTCCTTCAGGAGATAAGGCATCAACGGGACGCCATGGAAAGAGATCGTGGAAGTGGCATTTGCTTGCTGGTTTTGTTTTGCGTTCAAGTCAGCTCCCTCGTGGCTGGCCTTCTGTTGACCATTTCCACGAAAGTGGTCAAAAGGGATATTGGTAAGGGGGAAGGAGTATTTGTGGGGATTCTGCGGTAGCACTGAGCCCACCCGGGAGTGCACCAGCTGGTTACACTGCAAACTTGGAGGCCAGGGCTCGCAGTATTGTGACTCTGCGCAGGCCAAGGGCTTCCTAGACTTGGCGGCCTCTGAAAGGAAAGAACTAGGACCTCCACTCACCAACCCCGGCCTGGAGAGAAGGAGGAAGAGTCAAGCGTTACCAGGAAGTAGACAGTAGTTCCAGTTCAGTTTTTATTCTGCCAGCCATTGGTTGGTGTATTGAACTAGGGATTTCTATATGAATTCCTGACTTTGAAAATGGTTTTACTTAGTCTGTCTTATCTTCTGGAAAACAGAAATTCATATGAATTTCTAATGAATTAGAACTTTATTACTTCATAGAAAATTTCCTGACCAATTTATTTTTAGGCTTAAAATTTGAAATAATTTTATGAGAGAGCATGTAATATGTTGCCTTTGGCACGGAGCATATTGCTTTCAAATTAGGGGCTTATGTATTATCTGACTAATGTTCTTTCTTAGGGTCTTTTTCCCCTCTTTTCCCAGGCAGTTCTTTTTGGTTCTACTCTGGGATCTGAAAGCTGCTCTGATGAAGACTGTATTGGTGCCTCTGTGCCTGACCGCAGAAAATGACACAATGGCCCCTGAAGCTATGTGTGGCCGGAGGATGTGGCTTGACCTTCAGGGATGGTATATGAAGAGATCCTGGTGTGATTTCTCATCATGAAGGAACTTGAGATCTCTTTATCTGGGGTTCTGTCTGGGGGTCCAGACAGCTCGATTCTAGGTGCTGTGACCAAGAGATAGCCTTGGGCAGTCTGTAGATAAAAGGCTCTGGCCATCAAATTTTATCATCTCAGCAAGTGGTTATTAAACTTGACTGTGCATAAGACTCATCTAGGACATGTGTCAAATATCCTAGGCAGGATCCCAAGAGATTCTGATTGTCTGTATTGGGTTCCAAGGACCTATGCGTTTTACAAGTCCTCTTGCTCTCCAAAGTGAGTCTGCAGCAGGTGTTTTGCAAACTGAGAAACTCTATCAGGAAGCTCTCCGTTCTCTCCAGGTTGCCATTGCTCCCTTGGTCTCCTGGAGGCCAAGCTAGAGGGCTAGCCTGCCTTTGCCAGGCAGGGTGCTGAATTGTGTTTGGAGCCCACCTGTCTTGGGGTTACCCAACTACAGCTGCCATATTCATTCTGCCTGAGACACCCACTGCCTTGATCACTGACCACTGTTTCTGCAGCCCATAAAACAACATGCTTCTCACCTCTTTTCCACACTGCTTCCAATGTCTTCATCTATCCTTCTGCACTTTGTGGTCTTCCTTTCTCTGCCCCTTTTTGCCTTTGGCACCGAGCATATTGCTTTCAAATTAGGGGCTTATGTATTTTCTGACAATGTTCTTTCTTAGGGTCTTTTTCCCCTCTTTTCCCAGGCAGTTCTTTTTGGTTCTACTCTGGGATCTGAAAGCTGCTCTGATGAAGACTGTATTGGTGCCTCTGTGCCTGACCGCAGAAAATGACACAATGGCCCCTGAAGCTATGTGTGGCCGGAGGATGTGGCTTGACCTTCAGGGATGGTATATGAAGAGATCCTGGTGTGATTTCTCATCATGAAGGAACTTGAGATCTCTTTATCTGGGGTTCTGTCTGGGGGTCCAGACAGCTCGATTCTAGGTGCTGTGACCAAGAGATAGCCTTGGGCAGTCTGTAGATAAAAGGCTCTGGCCATCAAATTTTATCATCTCAGCAAGTGGTTATTAAACTTGACTGTGCATAAGACTCATCTAGGACATGTGTCAAATATCCTAGGCAGGATCCCAAGAGATTCTGATTGTCTGTATTGGGTTCCAAGGACCTATGCGTTTTACAAGTCCTCTTGCTCTCCAAAGTGAGTCTGCAGCAGGTGTTTTGCAAACTGAGAAACTCTATCAGGAAGCTCTCCGTTCTCTCCAGGTTGCCATTGCTCCCTTGGTCTCCTGGAGGCCAAGCTAGAGGGCTAGCCTGCCTTTGCCAGGCAGGGTGCTGAATTGTGTTTGGAGCCCACCTGTCTTGGGGTTACCCAACTACAGCTGCCATATTCATTCTGCCTGAGACACCCACTGCCTTGATCACTGACCACTGTTTCTGCAGCCCATAAAACAACATGCTTCTCACCTCTTTTCCACACTGCTTCCAATGTCTTCATCTATCCTTCTGCACTTTGTGGTCTTCCTTTCTCTGCCCCTTTGAACTCTCATTCCATTTAATCTACCCAGGGCATTGCACCTTGGTGTCCTTAGGAATTGGGGAATGTGAGGTACTCTCCACCCCCACCTCTCTTTCTGCAAAGGGTGGATAGAGTATATCCAGGTTTGCTGGTTGCTCTGCATCCCCAGTAGCAGAAAAGGCCCTGCCAACCTCTAACTTTAGTTTTCAGGAAAGTTTCATGGTTTGTTTTTACATTGTGCATCAACCTGACCTGCCGCCTTTTATGTTTTTAGTGCATTACTTTTCTTCTTCCCAGGTGTCCACTAACTCCTGGAACATGACAGAATAAATGGGCCAGATTATTTATGGGGGTTTGATTTGGAGGATGGTTGCCAACAACCCCTTTCTCTCCTACCAGCAGGATGAAAAACAGGCATGTTGGGAGGGACAATACGTCTTTCACTTCTCTGAGGCCACTTTAATACAAAGCATGGGCTAGAAACTAGAAGCATAACTGGATTTATTCTCCAAACTTTATCCTAGGGAAGTTCTTGCTCCCAGCATGGAAAGGTTTTGATGGAACATAACTTTGGGCGTTAACAGTGACAATCCTTGGGATCACATGTCGCCATGCCCAAAAACATGACAGCAGATTAAAAAACCTTTGGATGAATGTGTGAGAAGGAAACTATCTTAACCAACCAATATGCACAAAATACTGATATCTTTCCTGCCATCCTTTGCTCACAGTGCCCATGGTCATGCGGGAGAGAGTGCACCAGGCAATCAGAATAACAAAGGAAATGGACACAGGAGACACCAGAGACATGGAATCTAAATCTGAGCACTTCATTTCATTTCTTGGGTAATAAAATATATTTTTCTACAAAGTAAATGGCAACTCTTAGGGGAAAAAAACACCTCTAATTTATGACATTAATCTGTTTATTAGTAGAATATAGTTCCCATGAAGACAGGGACCTTATCTATCTTGTTTATTGGCACACAGATCTTCATAAGTGTCTGATGGATGAATAGGATGCTTAAGCTAACAGGGAAGTTTGTGTTGTCCTGGCAAGTGTAATGGACAAAGAATCCTAAAATCTGGGTTCTAATTCTGGATCATCCATCCTGGATGCTTAGATAATAATAATCATCTCTTGCCTTGGTTAAAAAAAAAAATCTATCATTAGATGAAGGTTGTTGTGAGGATGTAGAGAAAAGGGTCTAGCAAGGAGAAAGTACCTATAGATTAGTTTTTGCATTCCAGAATACTATATTTCAGAAAATACTACATTTCAGAAAATAAAAACAGTATACTCAGTGCCATTTTGAGCTCTGTTTTGAGGAACAGAGAATTCAGTGCAAAGTAAAATATATGGTAAAACCATAAAATATTTCTGATTATTTCTCTTTAACATGACCAACTGTAACAGCAAATGGAGTTTCCTAGGGCTTGATCTGTGGTCTCTTTTCTCACCCTGAGCTCTGTCCTTGGATGACAGCATCTACTCCACTAAATTCCACATTATTCATATTCCACATTTTACTTCTTCCTGAAATGCTCTTTCATTGTGTTCTGTGCTTTCTGTCTTTACCTTCCTTTTTGCTTACTCTTCCTTTTTAAATTTTGATTTCACCTTAATTGACTTTTCTTGAGGGATGCTTTCCTGACCTACCCCTGACTAAGGTACTCAGAGTCCTGCCTTAGGTACTTAATAACTCTTTGCTATATGTATATCTCATTGCTGACTGGTGTGATTTGAAGGCACAAACAGAGGGTTCTTTGTTGTCTGTTATATCCTTAGTACCAGTGCCTTGCCTATAATACAGTAGGTGCTCAATCATATTTTGGGGCAAATAATTGGATAAATGCATTTCATTTAAAAAATCATACTGAATTGTTTTTCTGTTAGAATTAAGTTTTAAAAGTAATTCAGTATTACTTAAATTCTCTTTTTGTCTTATGGATCTATTTTTTTATAACTCAAGGTACTGAATAGTACTTAGTGTATACAGATAAAAGATTTCATTAACTAAATATGAAAACACAGATGTTGATATCTACTATGACTATCACAAAATGTTTATTCCTTTTCCGTCATTCACATATATCTGTTTTAGTGAAACTTCTCAGTAGTGAAAGCTTACAGAGGCAGTATGAGCCGTGGACTCCGAATGTGGGTCCAAGATCTGGCCCTGAGTGACATTGGGCAAATAAATCACTTAATACCTTTAAGCCTCTTTGCTTATTGGTAAAAATGGAAGAAATAAACCTCCCCTGCTCACCTCACATGATTTCTGGGTGGAACCAAAGGGTAATGCACATGAGGGTACTTGAATGAGCAAAGCACCTCTGTCAGGGGATATTTATCAACCCTTCCATTCAATTGAGGCACAGTGTTGTTGATTATTACTTAGGCTGAGGAATTTTTTAAAGCATCAGGATTGTACATTTGTCCTAGGGGCCTGAGGTTAGAAGAAGGGAAGGGGACTTGTCCTTACCTGTCTAGAGCACTTCACCTTACCCACTGAAT